CAATTTTTTTAAGGCTAAAGAATACTTTAGAACAAAAAGAAAAGAAGGTCAAACACAAAATATTCATTTGGTCTAATCCCTCAATTATGGGGCTTAACAACCCCGCCCTTCTTATATTCATTTGGTTTGTTTTCTTCTTGATGTTCCCATATTCAAACCCTTCACATTCTCTTCCTAGTTCTTATCTTTCTACCTAAAAATATTAAAATAACAACAATTAATAATGTAAAGGTTTCTGTTTATAAAGTATAAAATTGGAAGACGCCAATATTTCTCAAGTCTAAAATCACACAAGAGGGTGAAATTTTGGTTGAATTATGACTTTCCACTAATAAACCAACTAAAATAATAAGAGCAAGAGTGCTCCTTTTTTCCTCATCTAGATCTCCAACCCACAGTTGACCAAAAATGTCAAAAAAGTTGCATCATTTTTGGGCTTCTTTAACATTTCCCAGAACCAAAAACAACTCAGCTGCAAAAGAAATCAGTCCTTACACGTATAGGGAAAAATGTTAAATAGTGATATATAAACGTGCGGACAGGAGAAAATGCACAACACCAAATGGGATTTGTTTTTGAGAATTCCAATCCCCCAACCAAAAAAAAAAAAAGAAAAAAAAAGTTTTATTTATATAGTATGAGTATCCAGGGTCGGACGAATCTTTCTGGTCAACTAATTGAGAAATGGTGGGCCTTGAAAATGTGTGGAATTGAGATGGAGAGAGATCTAAAGTATTTAATGCAGCACTAAATTAAAAACAAAAACCAACTAAAAAAAAAAGGGAGATTCTTTGGTATTCATAAGAAAGATTTTTTTAACTGTTAAATATGTATATTTATTTTTTATTTTTACGTTATTTTATATAAATTTAACGGATAAAAAATTTGATCTATCGATATATTGGCGTATCAGAAAAGATCCAAAAAAAATTCATTTTTTCAAATTTTTTACTGGTTTTTAAATTTGTGTTTCTGTGATGGGTGATGGTAAGTCTGTTTTAGTGGTCCTAAAACATTGGTTGGTGTTTCTTGAGTGAAATATTTTACAGTGACATTTTTATTATTATTATTATTTTGGTTTTCATCAAGTCCGAAACCTGACAAGAAAATGCCAAATGCAATTTCACAAGCTTTCAAAGAACTAGTTAGTCCTACCTACATGCACTGCAGACGTCCATGCTATCCTTTTGCCCTTTTCCTCTTGTTATGTCACTCTCATTGCATGTGCAAATTGTTAAATACAAAAATCCATTTTCTATAAAAACAAATATTAAATTCCATGAAAATAATTATTAAAAATAAAAACCACAAACTGTGATAAATATATAAAATTCTTCAGCATATTTGACTTGGATTTTCTACCTTACCCCTCTAGTTTTCTCACCTAGTCTCCTTTCTTGATAGAAACTGTATCCAATTAATTGATGTTTTGTCTAATGCAGAAGTGTTGCTAGATACAAATACTATCTCCATCTCTATTGTGGTTAATAAGAAGTGCATGTAGAATAGCCTTTTTGACTTCAAGTTTTTCTTATTTGTAATTTTGTGAAGCTAATGATACATTATATAGTGGATATAGTTACTAAGTCACATCCTAAAGATATATATATATATATATAAATAAATATTGTTTGTGTTTGTAGACCTGTGGAACATGACACCTTTCAAGTAAGGCAATTGAAAATTTCGGCAACTTATTTTTTGTTCTCTTATTATTATTATTATTATTATTATTTTGAGAAAAGGGAATTGCATTCCAAATAAGAGAATTACAAACACTAATTCAGGCGCGAAATACCTCAACGCAATTAGCGACTCAATCCCACCCATAGACCGGAACTACCGGTAAATTCGATTGAAATGCTCAAAAGGATAATATGTGTACCGAGTTCTGACAAGCAGAAACTAAAGAGGCACACAACAATTCGAGGAAACATATAGTTCTTTCAAACACACCACTAAAGTTGGCGGGTAACTTCAATCAAACGGGATCAAGATACCAAAGACACCAATACCTACTACAACACCGCAAAGGAAACATACTTGCAGTTTAGACAAAAAACCTACAATAGAAGGTGGAGAGACCACCTCTGTTATTACAACGAAAAACTAACAAAACAACCAACACACGCTAAAACTAATCAGTAGAAACATCAACGCTCTTATTTGTCTAACACAAGAACAGGGAAAAGGCCAGGCGACATCGACTGGATATCCGATTACAAGCCAACAGCTGCCAAAGGTGAAAGAGGGGACTGCAACATAGCAAGCGAGCCCGAACAGGGCCGAGCCTCTAGAGCGGGGAGACCACACACCGTCTCCAGCAACCGTCGGAAAGTGAACGCGCCCCACCACAAAGAGAACCATGACTACATCGCTCCAATCACCAACTTCGACCACCATACCACGTATGGGTTCCCTCCAAAGGAGCACCAAGATGAGGGGAACAAACCCCCTTGGGCATAGATGCGTCAACAACTGGACTATCCCAGAAGACTGCAAACACACGCTAGAGAGCACCCCTCAAACACCCACGACTCCTCCACTTCTGGCCCCGTTGAAATCTCACTGGAGACAACGAATCTGCGACACCCAAGGACCCACCCATGGGGCCGGGAGTCCGGTGCCTAGCCCAAGGGCGGCGCTAGACTCCGGCCCGTTGAAAACTGTTGCGACAGCACAAGGAAAGCGAGAGAAGAAGAGAAAGAGAGAAACCCTAATAGTGTGTTTGGTAGGGTGGAAAAGAGAGAGGAAAGAAAATAGATGAAGTATTTTAGAGAGGAAAATTAAATTTAAGGTTGTTTGGTAGAGATGAAATGAGAAAGGAAGGAAAATGAAAATCCATGAGACCTATTAATTTTTAATCCTTCTAACTTTGAGAAGAAAATATGAGGAAAAAAGTTAGACAAACAAATGAAGTGTAAAATAATAATTTTAACCTTCATCATTCATTATATTTTTATTTGTATTGAGGTATTATTATAAAATGCCTTAAATTTAATATTTTCTTTTCATTTTTCTTTCTTTTCTACTAAATAATATAAGAAAAAATCATTTTACTTATTTTACCTATATATTTCACCTCTCAATTCTTACTCTTTTGTCTTTTCTATCAATTCTACTAAACATGGCATAATAGCGCCAGTATTTGTCCTCTTCTTGTTGGGATGTAGTAAATGCACTTGTTTCTCTACCATGCTCCTGAAGATATAAATTTTGAATTATTCAAAATTTCAAATTGGATTCTCATTTTAATTTTAATAACTTTAAAAAAAGGGTTGAAAGTGAAATCAGTTGAAATTGGGACAGAGAAACAGAACCAGAGTCCAAATACGTTGTGACAAGAAGGCTGATTACTTTTTTCGTTTTCAATGCAAGTGTTTGAACAGTTTCGGTAATTGGGATGAGTCTTTACATTTTAACTTGTGACGTTTTAATTGATTAGCAAAAAAAAAAAAAAAAAAACTTGTGACGTTTTAATTAAATTGAAACAGAAAATCACCATAGCTTACAATTTTACTTTCATGGGAAACAAATCAAAGTAATGAGTAGCAAAAGTGAGAATGAAGCATTCATCAACAAGAGGAGACATATATTTCTATATAAAAAAGGAAAAATATTGTTAATAAAGACTTTATGGAAAATTCCGTGAAAATATCATTATACAGTCCTTAATTGCAGATCAAAACTAAAACATGTTTTTTTTTTTTTTTTTTTTAAAGATTTCAAGCTGGTTAATATTATTAAATGCTAATGCAAATGGTCAATTACAACACAGGAGATTCACTCAGGTACCTCTTCCAGTTAAAACTGGTCACAATTGAGAGTCAAAGCAAAAACGAGTAAGTGCACGGGCAATTTTATATGGTAAGACAAAAATTTTGGAGTTTTATATACAATTTTATGATTAATCAACTTAACGAAACCTAAAAAGATTAATCAACTTAACAAGATAGCTAAAATAGGCGTAGCTAGATTCTTAACACAAGTCTCAAGAACTAGGCAGGCCCCAATTTCGTCTTCTCCTAGGCATCAACTACCCACCATAACTAAAAGGAAGCAACAGCATTTATTGCAAACAGGTATTTGTCCAAAACATTAGAGAATTTAATTTTTTGTTGTTGTTGTTTTTTTCATCAACTAAAAAACCAAAGTGAAGCTCATCAGGAAATGAAAGAAACAGGAGCTCGGAAGGAGAAACGGCACTAGAGGTGAGGGGTCACAAACACAATCTCCTTCCAAATTGTTCTTATTAACTGTGTAGGGCCCCGTTTGTTTCTGAATTCTTCGTGAGTTTAAACTCATAATTTTAATTCTGTTACAGTATTTTTTATTATAAAAAATTTAAATTTTAAAATTTAAAATAAAAATTATTAATTTAAACACATAAATAAATGAGCCCGTAGTTTTATTCCTCCCAACAAAAGAAGTTAAAATATTCAATTGGACAAGAGCACAAACCACTATCTTGGGCTTTAGTTTAACTCATTTTCTGTTTGTTTCCCTTTTGGACAAAGTCAGTGAACAAGCAGAGAGAGAGAGAATGAGACTGTATTTCTAGTTTGAGAGAGAAAAAAATAGAGGGTGAAAAAACTTGAGTGATGTTTGATATTCTATAACGTAAATCTATAATTTTAGTTTGTTTACAGTATTTTTTTAATAAAAAATTTAAATTTTAAAAGTCAGTATCAGGGAAAAAAAAAAGTTTTTTTTTTTTTTAATTTGTCTAATAGGATCACTTTTAATATAAAAAATAAATAATTTTGAATATAAATTTAACAATTAAAAATAACGAATAATTGATCTGATCTCGTCAGATAATTTTATTTATCTTCCTTTTTTGTGATTGAAGAGCAACTTACAAAAAAGAGAAGCAAACAACTGTCTGTTGGCACTGGACTGTGTGACACATGATTTGCCCTGCGGGAAAAGGTAAAGCTAGAAGCAAGGGAAAAAAAAGAAAAGTAAAAGGTGACTTGGGAGGTGGTAATTATAGGTATGGAAGGGAAAGCAAAGCAATGCCAGGCCCCGTTCTCTCTCTCTCCAAGTAAAAAACTTTACAACAAACAAAGGAGAAACAATTAAATAAAGCCTGTTTTCTTCTCACCTTCCTTGACCTGGGGCTTGGGCTCTCTCTCTCTCCTTCTCTCTCTCTATGATTGAGTAAACCAGACAAAGCTTTCCTTACTGTCCATTCCTTCATCTTCATCACCATCTACCTTTGAGAGCTTCTCTCTCTCTCTCTCTCTCTCTCTCTCTCTCTCTCTCTCTCTTACCATTTCTTTCCTTTGGTTAGACACCTCCTTGGAGGATGTCCCTGCAACTTTATTATTATTTTCCTCTTGGTTGTTGGTTTCACTTCCACAGTGAATCAGCCATTTTCAGTTTTCCCGGAAAATGAGGGAAAAGAGATAGACACCCACTGAAAACATCATCATTTTTGTTTGCCCATTAAGGCCTTTATGTTATTTTTTCTCTCTAGCTAGTCTCTCTCTCTCTCTCTCTCTCTCTCTGCAGCATTGAACAAGAACAATGAGGAAACATGGTTGGCAGCTACCTTATCACCCTCTCCAGGTTTGTTTTCACAAGATTTTTCCCACCCAAAGTTTCTTTCTTTCTCCATTTTTCCATCTCAATTTGAGTTAAAAGATTGTTCCTTTTTTTTTTTTTTTTTTTTTGCTTTTGGGGTTTTGCCCAAAGGTGGTGGCTGTGGCAGTATTTCTAGCGTTGGGTTTTGCTTTCTATGTGTTCTTTGCTCCTTTTGTTGGGAAGAAGATGTTTCAGTACATTGCCATGGGATTGTACACTCCTCTTGTAAGCCCATTTATCCTTTTTCCTCTTTCTTATGTAGTTTTTTTTTTTCTTTGGTTGGTTGATGATTTGAGATCTGTGATTTTCTCTGCATTTGCGTTTATGTTCATTGTGTTTCTTGTGTTCTGTGCAAACTGAATTTCTCTCCCCTTTTCTGGGTATTTATGGTGACTTCGTCTACAGATCCACTTTAGTAAGTCATTGAGCTTCTCACTCTAGCTGAGGAGGGCATTCCTGTCTTGTGTAAATTTTTAAGGGATCCTGATTTCAAACAACATGAATGAATGTACGCTTTGCTTGGGCTTAAAGATCAAAACCTTATCACTTTTTTGGATAGCAAAAGTGTTTTGAGTGAGTTTCTTTCAAATTTTGGTAAATTCAATTACTTTTATCTATGACTTGACCATTTTAGAATTGGTTACCTAAGTTAGAAGAGTAACAATATAAGAAACTACAAGCTAATGCACTAAGTTAGAATTTTTTCTTTCTTAAGTACTTTGAAGAAAGAACGTATAATCCAATTTGTTTGTGATTGGACTCAAGTAAAGGACTTGAACAATCATGCTTTTTTATGGGTCCTAGACACGATTTAATCTCACACAATTGCAATGGTCTGGTACCATTTTGGTTAGCAAATATGTAAAGCTTGAACTTCTCTTGTCCGCCGTGTTTAACTTTAGCTTGGATTAGAGTTAGACAATTAAGGTTTGGTAAACTCTCTGTTATTTTCAGATTACATGTGTCTTCAGCCTATATATTTGGTGTGCGGCAGCAGATCCTGCGGATCCAGGAGTTTTCAAGTCGAAAAAGTATCTTAAGATTGTGGACAGCGGAAAGCATTCTGGACAAAAGGGATCTAAACTCGGTGGTGAATCAACTTCATCACTACATGATACCACTAGTTTAAAATGTGGAGAAAAACCTTTGGATGAAGATTCATTCGGCAAAGATCCAAATTCCAAAGTCGCAGCTACTGATACCGAGAAGAAAAATACGTCACAAGACCGTTCATCTTGGTTTCTGTTGGCTTGTTGCTCTCCGTGTGCTTATATCTGCAGTTGCTCGGGTTCGGGTTCGGAATCCTCTACTCAACAAATGAGTGAAGAAGGCATGTTCTATTGCAGTTTGTGTGAAGTCGAGGTGTGTAGTAGAAGCACATAAATCAATAAATATTTTCAGTCTTTTGACTCGATTGTCGAATGGTTATATCTTGAGTTGTTTTTTATTCCAATGCAGGTCTTCAAGTATAGTAAACATTGTAGAGTTTGTGATAAATGTGTTGACCGCTTTGATCATCATTGCAGGGTATAAGAATCTATCCCCATTCTGTCTGTTGAAATTTCATTTTCCTTTGGTAATTCTTCCTAATTGAAATTCATCTCTTTTTTTTTCTTTTTTTTTTTTTTTCAGTGGCTTAACAACTGTATAGGGAAAAGGAACTACAGACAATTTTTCACCCTCATGGTTACTGCTCTCCTATTGGTAAGCATTAGCCTCCATCCTTATCCTAGCTTACAACAAATCTCGGGGTGAACCTAAAATTGTTGACCTATTGTTTCCTTTAAACCTCACCTTCTATATTAGCCTTGGCTTTGATCTAATCCCCAACTTCTAAATGATACCTTCCATTTCGACCGAATATTGAACTATGCCTAATCTTGAATGGTTACTATACTCCCTAATTGCCTCAATGAGTCCCACAAGGAATCAGCCACAGCCGAAGATCTCAGAGTAAGCATTTTCTTTTCAAATCATTTTCATTTTAATTGATTATTGACAGGTATATACATGGTTTGTGCACCTTGGGGTTGAGATTGCAGCTTATTCTACAATGGACTACTGGACTCCTTGTGATCATCTCCTGTTTTCTTGAGAGGAAACGATTCTCTACGGAAATCTCCACTAAGTTGGGAAGCAGTTTCTCTATGGTGCCATTTGTTCTTGTCGTGGTAAGTGCTATTTGACATGTCTTTACTTTTCTAGTGTTACACTTTCTCTGTCTCAAGACTCTCAACAGTGAGAATCTAAGTTAATTCATATTATTTATTTTTTCCACAGCTTCTATTATCAAGCTAATCAAGTTTAAATGGAATTGACAGGCACTGTGCACTCTTCTGGCAATGATCGCAACCCTACCGCTTGCGCAGCTTTTCTTTTTCCATATCCTTTTGATTAAGAAGGTAAGCGTGACACTTGCTTCCGTTTCTAATGACACGGGTCATTTTCTTTTTCCAACAAGCAATTAAATGAAGTTAAATTGTGGTCTGCTAATGTGAATAGGGAATCAGCACCTATGACTACATCATAGCTTTGAGGGAACAGGAGCAAGACCAACAAGGAGTTGGAGGTCAGCAGAGTCCGCAAATGTCCCCTGCCAGCTCACTTACCGGATTAAGCAGTGCAAGCTCCTTTACTACCTTCCACCGCGGTGCTTGGTGCACCCCACCGCGCTTGTTCCTCGAAGATCAGGTAAGTGTTTTATTTGAAGTGTACAAATTCTGTTGCTGTCAATAAACTGAGTACTGCTAGGAGTGTTGGGGGATTGATTTTAGATTAGCTCTTCTTTTTTCTTTCACTCATTATTTAGACCGTATTGTTTGACTTGGTTATGCTCTGACTTTTTTTTCTTTTTTTCCCCAGTTTGATGTTGTACCACCAGAGACTGGTTCTGTTAGTTCATTAGGAAAAAAGGTGGCGGGAGAGGAAACAATTAAAAAGAAGAATCCTGCAGCAGTGAAGATTAGTCCATGGACTCTTGCAAGACTAAATGCGGAAGAGATTTCAAAGGCTGCAGCAGAGGCAAGGAAAAAGTCCAAAATCTTGCAGCCTGTGGTGCGACGGGACCGACCTTTTGGACTAGAAACTGACAGTAGCTTTGGCAGCAGTGGTCGCCGAATGTTTCCAAGGCCTGACAATAATAGAAAGCGAGGTAATAAGCGGGTGCGGCTCCCAGCTGAATTACCCATGGAGCCACTTAGCACGGTCTCAGCTAAGGCTGTTACCAAAGGCTTCACTGAGACATCGTCATCTAGTTTGGCTCCTCTTCAGCTCGAAGCACGGAGTGCTTTCCAAACAAGCCGTGCCATGTCAAGCTCAACTGGGATTGTTGCTTCCTCTCCGGAGAGCAGTTTGGACTCACCTGACATCCACCCATTTCGAGTGTCCTCATCAGGAGCTGAAGAGGCGAGGCGGCTCGCAGGTATGTCTGCTGCTGGTCTAGCTGCTCATAATGGATTCCCGTTGTCAAGATCAACTAGTGATGGTTACGAAGCGTCTGGAGGAGAAGATAGCGACCGAGTTCCTTCAAGAATTGCACAACGGTCGACAAACTGGACCAATGTTCTCTTCAGCTCCGAACCCGATGAAAGAATCTTCAAACTGAAAGCATCTTCCTCTGGACATGCGGACCACAGAAAGCTATGATGATCAGCTTTGATTCTAATGCAAAATTTAGGTCATTTTGATTTTATCAGGAGGAATTGTTCACACCAATATTCTTTCATTTGTGGTGGGCGGGTTTTTGAGGTCTCGGGGTTTCATGGGTGAAAGTAAGACATGAAAAGGGGCTGTATGGAGTTCTTAGAATTGGCTTTTAATTGAGATGCACATACATTTTGTACTTTGCTTGAGCTCGAGCTCCATTCCAGCCTCTGATGGGGTTTCACAGAATGACCAGACCCCACTCAATGTTGAGTTTGCTGCAAGTAATGCTAAAAAATCTTCATTTCTGTTCTGACTGCTTGTAAAAACTGAGTTTCCTTGAGAAGCTTCTAGTGATTTCTTTACTAGGATCCATAATATTTGCAATGGTTTTCCAACTTGATTCCAATTGTTATTGTTTTATACATGGAAAGTTGAAATTAAAATGCAAACATTTTCCTGCTTTCCATGATTGTCTTTTTACAATTTATGGATTTGTCTTTGTCCGTTTGTTATGGTGTTGTCTGTGGCAAGGCTGTTGATATGGTCAGCGAGTGATACGATTAAAGGTAGCTTTCTGTCCTATGCAGAGTGGGACGGATTTTTATTCAACTTATCCACAGGAAAATTATGTTAGTTTTTATTTATTTATTTTTTTGAGTGTTCCCATGGGGGCTGTCTTCTTGATTGTCAGCCAAGAAAAGCTGCAAATTGCAAATGGGGTCTCTGGCGTCTACGTGAAGTACGATCCCTTTTTCTCTCCGTTTTTTAATGTTTAAAAAAAAAAAAATTTTGGAAGAACATATCCTCCTTTTTGTCACTTTGGTCATGATGTGGAATTATAAATAAGTTTTGGGGAATTCCCCAATGTTTGGAGAAAAAAAAAAGACAGTTTAATCGAATATTTAACACCTATAAATTTGAATAATAATAAAAAAGATCCATTCCGACTTTTGGGGTATGTTTAGTAGGAAGGAGTGAGAGATGGAGAGAGAGAGAAGGGTGAAGAGAGAAGGTGAATATCTTGTTTGGTAAGAATGAGAAGAGGAGAGGGAAGAGAGATAAAATGAGAGACTCTTTTTTCACGCATATTATTTTAGATTCTTTAATTGATAGAAATAAGGGTGATAATTCGTGTTAGTGGGTGGTATTTGTGTCAATCTCTTTATTAATCGTATCAAAAAATATTAAGTCATATAAGACTCGTTTATTAAACGTGTCAAAGATGTTAACCCAAACACGATGCATTTATTAATCGTATTAACCGTGTGAACCCGTATAACCTGTTTAAATTAATAGATTGAATAAATAACTAATATAATAATAACTTATTTAACATGAGTATGACATGTGTAAAATATTTATTGGTCAATTTATATTTTCCTTCGAGAAAAATAAATGAATTTTACTTATAAATATTAAAATTCATATTATTTATATTTAATATGTTATATAAACTTTCAAGTTATATCACATATCATTAGATTGCATATGATACATAAAATTAATCGTGTCATTTCGTGTTAAGAGGTCGATCATAACTTAACCCATTTATTAATCGTATCAACCTAATTATAACTTAAACTTTTTTATAGTAAACTTGCTAACTTCGTGCATGTTTCGTGTCATGACTCAAATTACCACCATTAGATAGAAAGAATGATCCAACCAATACACCTAAAATTAAAAGAAAATGACTTTTTTACCCTTCAAAAGTAATTCTTAATAAATAGTAAAATAAACAATATAGTAATTAAACAAAAACCTATCATCTATCTTTTCAATTATCCTTCTCTCCTACCAAATAACATAAAGAATTATTATAATTGTCCCCATCCTTCTCATTCTCCATCTCCTAGTTGATTCCTCTCATTTATTTATTTAAACGAAAGATTTGAAGACTCACAGGCTACCAAACTCAAGGCTTCTATCTAAACTTTAACTCCTTTACTTAAGATTAATTATTATTGTTGCATCTAATAGTCGACTTTTAGTTGTAAACAAAAAAATAAAGATTGAGCTTTCTATCATTCTGCTAATCACATAAAGTAAAAACAAAATATGCAAAATTGATATAACATAATACAATTTACCGTTTAAAAGAACCCTAACACGATAGGTTTTCTTTTCATATCTAGTGTAGAATATAAACCCATGGATTTATGCATCTCTCTCATAAAAGAATAAACAGAAAAATAAAAAATCAGATTTGATCCATTTATTTCTTGAAACTGTTCTATGAAAAGGAAAGTCAACTTAAGGTAGGAGCAATTTTTTTAGTACTCAAGTACACTTGGTTCCTGACTTTTAAAACATCTCATAGTCGATTCTTAAATTTTCTGTTTGCAATTTTAGTTCTTAATTTATACAGATTCTTTTAAATATTTAACACCTAGTTAACAAAATGATCGAAACTGAGACAGAGTAAAAATTCAAAGACTAATTGTGAAACGTTTTAAAAGTACGACCAATGTGAGATTGAGATTAAATCTCAAGAAGGAATTGATCCTAATAAGAATTAGCCCATTTAAAGATTTTCGTTTATAAGCATCCAAGGACTTTTACATAGATCCTTAATGAAGCAATAGTAATTTGAAACATGCACATGTCATGGAGGTAGTTAACAGCTAAGGTACACTGATCCACGGCCCAACAGCAAACTCATCTCAGTCGTCTGTCTCGTCGCAACATCAAGCCAATATTCAAATTGACGCCACTAATAAAGGGGAACACTTGACGATTAACTTTTAGCTTTACTACTACAAATATTTAATCGGAAATTATATATCATGATGTGATCGGAAATTATTGCAATTTCACAACACAAAAAGAACAAATCACGATCAACATTCTTTACATACATATATGTGTATATTTTAAAAGAAACATCCCTTACATATCATTCATCTTTGATTTTCTTATTTATGCATGCTGTACTCAAAATATTTGAAGTATATGTTACTAATTTGGATCATGACTTACTAAAGCTCGTTATAATAAGTATCAAATTTAAACGCATAATCAGAACAAACAACACGATCATCAGCAGCTTTCTCATGATTAATATCAATGGGAAATCTTACCCACTCACAGTCAAACTCCTCCCCATCATGAATAGATATGCAACACACACGTACATGACCGTATTCACAACCATTTCAAATAGCATAAACAGCGATTTGAAATACGAAGCGACCACAATTTGACAATTTGTACAAGCAACACCAATAAGAACAAGCACTTCCGTTCAGGATCAGTAGCTAATGACGGATATTTAGTACTAGTACTCCTCTCCAACACCACATACCAAAACCCGAAAACCAAGGACAATAACAAAACAAAGACCTCTCCTGTCCTTGACCAAAATTTTACTCCGCTTCAAGGCGGCAAACCCCCAAGTTGATTCGGAAATTATGTTGGGTGGCTTTTTTTAACGATATCTTTTTGAACTTTTTTGATTTTATGAAAATGGTTGTTTTGTTTATATGAGTCAATTATTTATAGATCATAATTAATCAGTGATTAACTTACAATTAATTATGATCGATCGATTTATTATTAATTTATTAATAATTTATCATTAATAAACATATAATTTATTCATTAAAATTGATTAATTATTGATTGATTTTGATTAATTGTTAACTAATGTTGATTAATAATAATAAAAATAATCGAATTAATCAATAATAAATTAAAATTAATCATGATTGACTGTTTAGCCACTACTAAGTTAACGAAAACAGTCATTTTTATGATTCTGTTAAACTTCAGTCATTTATGAAAACATCCTTCAAAAAAAGCCATTTGTGTTGAAACCCCTTGATTCCGTCACGACAACTACAGATGCCAGGGCCCAATTCACTTGCAGATATATCGCTATCACGATGAAAAGAACCGCCATCGCCATGCGGATCGCAATGAAATAAGGCAAAGAGTCATCGATCTGAAACCCTAACAAGAAAGCTGCAACGATCACTGAAGCGAACAAGACCGCGAAGACAATACTAACCGCCAAAATGATTGCGTCGATGAGAAGAGTGGTGGCGAAGAGCGGGAAGAAGGAAGTGGAGAGGGACTTGATAATGGATTTGGGCTTGATATGGGTTGGCAGTGGAGGCCGTGGAAGAAGGTGTAGGTGATCGATCCGACGGCGCAGATGGAGAGGACTAAGTGGAAGAGGAAGTATGCGAGAACAAGCG